TTGTTAGTAAAATTAAAAACTTTTATATGTAAGAAAAAATACGTATTTTACTAATTATAATTAGTAAAAAATTTAAGCGTTGCATTATTTTTGATTGCCACTGTATATTATTATTTTAATTTTTTATTTATTTATTTTTTTATTAATTTTTTCTTTATTTATTAATCTTTTATATTTTATTTTCTTAATTTTATTTATTTAGAATTTATAATATCTTTTTTTTTAAAAAAAAATAATAAATAAAAATTCTTATTATATTATACTTTATTTTTAATAATTATATTAAATAATTTATTAAATTTGTTTTATCTAAATTTTATAATTTTAATAACTTAATTATATAATATTAATTTATTATAATAATATTAAAAATATTAAATTATAAATAATATTAATATAAAATATTTTATTCTTTCTAATTTTTAAATTAATTTTTTTTTATTTATATTATTTATTTATTTACTTTATTATTTATTTCTTAATTTCTTTATTTTTATTATGTTAAAAAATATAAAATAAAAAGATATTTTTTATAATTTAATATTTTAATTCATTTTTTCTTTATATAAATAATTTGATTTACTTATATATAATTTAATTAATTATTTAAAAATATATTAGTAATAATATTATCAATTATATCAATATTAATTATCTAATTAAAATTTATAATAAAAAATCAAAGAATTAAAAATATATAAATAAAAAATTATAAAAATATAATAATCAGAGTTAATATTTGAATTTTTGGATACTTGAATTAAACTAAATTCAAATTCAAATATTTTGAATTGAATTCAAGATATTTGCTTGAACTGCTCCAGATATCACTTCTATAAATAATATATAAGAAATATTTCTCCAGACTTTGCTAATTTCAATCTTAAATTTCATTTTTTAATCTTTTAATTCCTATATAAAAAATAATTTATACAACAGAGTAATAAAAATAATAATAATGAAAGCAATACAATGAAATAATCACATGTTATTCAAGTAAATTGATTTTGCTATCTCAAACAAAGAAATTACAAATTGAAAAGATATCCAACACCCAGGGCAAAAAGAAACAATTCTTTAGACAACAGATTATACAGCAATATCCATACCAACAGCTCAACGAAGTCTTTTATAATTGAACTCGTTCTTGTATGATTTTGTATAGTAGTTTTCTCTTCAGCTTCGCGACTTCCTTCTATGTTTGGTGATGATGTTGCTAAAAGATTGAAAGGTTAGAGATATTATTGATTTTTAAAAATTGAATCAAATTTAGAAAAATTACCATTTATCGTGGTTTGATCAATCTCGAGTGGATCATTATAAGCTTCAGTTGCTATTTAAAATTATTAGACAATTTATTACCCTTTTCTACTCGTTTATAAGTAAAAATAAAAAATATCAACATTTACCTCCATTTGGTTTCTTCTCACGACCCTTAGCAATTTTAGCAACGCTCATAGCGATTCTCTTATCCATTTGCAGAAATATAAGCTTACTTTCATTACCACCATCTCCATCTTCACCAGAAGACACAGTATCAATTGCAGAATCAGTAGTAGTCTTAGCAATGAAAGCTGCTCCAAGTACCGCAACGATATCATCATCGTGATTATGCTCATAAAAATCATTTTTCTTCTTTTGCCATTTTTTTGTGATACCTTTATTCGGTGCTCTTTTCTGCATTTCCACAATCACAAATATCCCGAATCCATTCGTGAAAACCAAATCGGGTCGATCGGGTATTTTTGATTTCTTTGTTTCAAAATCGTATAAATATTGAAATCCACGCAGGTATTTCTCCGTGTTATCCAACAATAAAAAGGATTCATCATTATCATTCTCAATGTTACTCTTAATTGCATCTCTTTTCTGTGAGTCTCGATCAATTATTTGTTGAAGACTACGATCTCCACCGTCTTCTTTTTCACGTTCATCACCCGCCGTATAATAAAATTCCTCAAGAAACTGAAGCACACGATCAATATACAACCCTGTTTTCTGGATATCCCAATTATATACATTACGTTTCTCACGTTGGCGTATGTTTCGTGGAAAGTATGGCGGTCGATCAGGCGTATTATCATCATATGTGTACTTTTTGTCCCCTAGTAAATAGGTTAGTCCTGTGTCATCGTCCGGGAGAGCAAAGTTCGTCTCATTATTTTGAATTGCCTTTAGGAACAATTTGCTTTTTCTAATGTTTAAAACCTGTGCGTCTTTTTCTTCTGGTTTCATGGTTTAATTTTCTAATTACGAGATTTTTTATTTATTGAAAAGAAATAACGTAACAAATAAAAGATGGTTACGTACGACTTAATTACGTTTTGTGTACATGTACATGCATGTACTACGGCTGATAAATGACGTTCAGCCACATGATATCGAATAAATAAATCGAGATTTTTCCTTAAATTTTAAAAAAAATGAAAATGAAATTTATAATTTCCTTTTCGCTAGCATTTTTATCTATTATTAATATTTTCATTAAAGTTGATGCTTTATGGCCTATTCCTAAAAAATGGTCTAGAGGGGTAA